CATAAGATTTCAGTTGCGCCGCCTCTACCGTAATCGTGGGCCGTTCCGTTGTCCGAGACACAAGAAAGTTGGAACAGACAGAGATTAGAAACATACATACATCTGATTCTGATTCTGGTCCGAAACGTACAGACGGCACGGCGCCTGTGACGGGCAGATATAGATAGGTAGGTGGGTAGGTAGGTAGCCTCTGAAGGATTTCCTGCTAGGACGTTCTCGAAGCCCAGCGGGTGCTCTCTCAAGAGAAAAAGAAAATGATAAGTCAATGAAACCAGAAGCTTATGAAGTTGAACCACAGCACAGGCGTCCAAGCAGAAAGATTTAACCGTTGTAAGACATAAAAAAAACAGCACTACTCAATAGCTGCCAGGATATGCAGTGGGGATTCGGACGCCCGCGGTGACTATCACACATTGTAACCGCATTTGTACGCGCGGGCTTGTGAGCTTGTTTTGGCGCTCGGCAAGGGATCTCGCTCGCTCGCTTCGCTACAAATTATCACCGTAACGGGACAGGGCAGGTAAGGTAGGTAGGGATTAGCTCGGCGGCAGCAGCAGCAGTTTGTTGACAAGGAAGCCAGCCATGTGCAAGGGAAGAAAGAAAGAAATGGAGAGTACTGACACTGAGAAGGAAAGAACGCCGTTAACCTTGTGGCTTGCGTTTCGCTTCGTTTTTTTTTTTTTTTTTTTTTTTTTTTTTTTTTTTTTGGAGTCTGAAGCTGGAAGGAAGGCTCATCGTCCAACCGAGGAAAGGTAGCTGGTAGCTGGTAGGCTGAATCAGACGATGAGTGATGCTCACTCGCCGTCGGTAATTTGTCTTACAAAATCTTCCTGCCGCCGCGAACCAGTGACCTGGGTCTTGCGTAGTAGTGTCCAGGTGAAGGTAGACAGACAGACAGCCGGAGACAAAGGAAAAAAAAAGAGAGAACAATGGCCCATCAGTCAAGAAGGAAATGCCCACCGCGCGGGCAAACACGCCATCGAATCTCCGTCCGCTTGGACATCTGATTTGCTGGGTTAACCAAATCCAATAAACCGCCCAGCAAAATCCCCTGCTTTTGATGGCGGCGAAGGACAGCATATGGGCGACAACAAAGCGGCTTCGGGCATGTGTGTGCTTTTTTTCATGTTTGTCTTCGGGGGGTAGGTAGATTCGTACTCGTCGGCAGCAGGGCTCTTTGCTCCAATTGCTCCTTCGTGCTCCTTCTTTTCCTGTGATAATGGCGCTCCACTTCTGTGAGCAGCGGTTAATTTCTGAACTGGCTTCTTGGATTTCCCCTGTGTTCATAAGATTGTTAGGTATGTATGGCCAACAGCATACTGGTATGTCTTCTTCGTTGCGAATGTCTCCGACAACTGGCACATGCCGCGGCAAGCTGAACTTTGATGTTTGATGGCACTCGATCCCGACGGGCTTGTGCCGGCAAGGTGGGCTCTTCAGGTCTGGGGTGTCGGCCATGGCTTCGGACATGGCCAACGGTACCAGCTTATTACAATAGTAAGAAGAAATCACCATGATACATACCTACACTGGCAGAAACCTCCCACCAGTAGACCCCAAGGCTGCTCACACATCAAGCCTGGACAGTGACCTAATTACAATTTCCTAGAACATCAACACCGTCAAGATCAAGGAGATGACCTCAAAATAGCCCAAGAGATCATTCGTATCGGTGACGACGACGACCTACGGGATGTTCTAGGATCCCTCTGATGATGAGCTGATTAGACGGCATGTTTGCAAAGAACTTAGTAAGGTTCATGCGTCTCCGACTCTTGTTGGTTCCTAGTGAACATTGGTTGGATGCACCATTATCAGCCGTCTGAACCGAACTCGTAAAGTGTCTAATGGCGTGCCGTCATTGGCGAAACTTGCGAGGCGGCCCAGGGCTGAGGCCTGGTGGTTTCCAGAGAAGTGGATGAAACTCCAGGACAGCCAGGGGAAAGCGAGCGATCGAGGCCATCAGGACCTCTCTGCCAGCAAGCTTCTATGTCATCGTGCCATTCCTTTTGGAGGTCTGTTGCCCGTTCTATTGTTGCGGAGAGCCGGAGGAAAACACGATGCGTGTTCTAGAAGGCGGGAAGAACATCGATTCTATGCAAGAGACCTTGTGCCGGTGATGATGATGTCGGGAAGAATTCGATGCCACTGTGGTGAACTCGTGATGTTGCTCCTTTTGCGGGCGTTAGCGCAGCTGCACTAACAGTAACAGCTACCGCTTTTACCCAGTCGTAAGAGATTTACCAAAGGCGCTAGCTGCGAAGATGAGGGAATCCAATTGGACTGATTCCTCATATGCAGCTAACCCCGCCGTGCATATGCTTCTATTTTCACCAAAACTGCCAGGTTCAGTAAATCTCTTACGACTGGGTAAAAGCGGTAGCTTCCTTGGGTGCAAACAAACCAATCATAGCTTCCAGATTACCCCACCTTCGAGCGGTCAGTGGGCGGCAAATTCCGCCCCGCGCCCAGACGACGAGGGCTCCCGGGAGGCGGACCGACGCCGTGAAAGTATCAAAAGTTGAACTCCACTTTGATATCGACTCCGACAGGCTACAGCTACGTTCAAGGTCAAGCAAAAGTGAAAACCAAACAGTGTTTGTTTTCACCGTATTTTGATCAGCCACCTGTCAGACGATCCTAGCCAAGATGGAAGCCGAAATCAGGACCGTTCTCCCCAACATCGACCCGGTCATCTCGGAGTATTCGGCCGGCTATCTTACCCATGCCTCAACGGCTTGGTCCGGCGATGAGGATGCTACCGGCCCGTCTCCACTCGCCGAGGCCGCCTCCGCCATCACCGACCTGCTGATCTCGGCCTCCGGTGGTACCAATGCCGCCCTACAGGACAAGATCCGTCAGCTTGTCGACAAGTGGGTGGACAGGTATTCTGCTGCCAACGACAGCCAGGAGAGGAGGGGTCCGGCTGTGAAGCGTCTTGACCAGACCATCCAAGTGAGCGCTCAGAGGAATATCTCGTCGACCCTGGCCGTGGCCACGGGCGGTGTTGATCTCGAGTCGGCCAACGCCAGGAAGGTCGAGTCCAAGGTCGACAAGAAGAAGCTGGAGAAGGCCGAGAGGAAGATTGCGGCCAAGCAGAACAAGAAGACCTTCAAGACGGTCGAGTATGAGGCCTCACGCCTGCTTAACCAGGTGGATCCTGCTCAGTCGTACGAGGAGTTCTACATGGCCGTCAACCCTCTGCAGATGAGCGGCTCTACCGGCAAGACCAAGGACATCAAGATCGACAACATCGACGTTACCATCGGTGGTCTCAGAATCTTGACCGACACCACTCTCACTCTCGCCTACGGCCATCGCTATGGTCTCGTCGGTCACAACGGTGTCGGTAAATCTACGCTCCTCAGAGCCCTCTCTCGCAGAGAGGTTCCCATTCCTACGCACATCTCCATTCTTCACGTCGAACAGGAACTCATGGGTGACGACACGCCTGCCATCCAGGCCGTCCTGGACGCCGACGTCTGGCGCAAGGTTCTCCTCAAGGAGCAGGCTGAGATCACCAAGAAATTGGCAGACATCGAGGCTCAGCGCACCGGGTTGGCCGACACCTCTGCCGATGCCGCTAGGCTCGACAGGGAGCGTGAAGTTCAGGACAACAAGCTCGGAGAGATCCAGGGCAAGCTTGCCGAGATGGAGTCGGACAAGGCCGAGTCGAGAGCGGCCAGCATTCTCGCCGGTCTGGGTTTCTCGCCAGAACGCCAACAGTTCGCGACCAAGACCTTCTCCGGTGGTTGGCGTATGCGTCTCGCCCTCGCCCGTGCCCTCTTCTGCGAGCCCGATCTCCTCCTGCTCGACGAACCGTCCAACATGTTGGACGTTCCCTCCATCACTTTCTTATCCAACTACCTGCAGACCTACCCCAGCACCGTGCTCGTCGTCTCCCACGACAGAGCCTTCCTCAACGAGGTCGCCACCGACATCATCCACCAGCACTCGATGCGGCTCGACTACTACCGCGGCGCCAACTTCGACTCCTTCTACGCCACGCGCGAGGAGCGCAAGAAGGTGGCCAAGCGCGAGTACGAGAACCAGATGGCGCAGCGCGCCCACTTGCAAGCCTTCATCGACAAGTTCCGGTACAACGCGGCCAAGTCTTCGGAAGCCCAATCGCGCATCAAGAAGCTCGAGAAGATGCCGATCCTCGAACCCCCGGAAACCGAGTACAGCGTGCACTTCAAGTTCCCCGAAGTGGAAAAACTCTCCCCTCCCATCGTGCAAATGTCCGAGGTCACCTTCGGCTACTCGCCCGACAACATCCTGCTGCGCAACGTCGACCTGGACGTCCAACTCGATTCCCGCATCGGCATCGTCGGCCCCAACGGCGCCGGTAAAACCACCATCCTCAAGCTGCTCGTCGGCAAGCTCTCTCCGACCACCGGTCTCATCACCATGCACCCCCGCCTCCGCATCGGCTTCTTCGCCCAGCACCACGTCGACGCCCTCGACCTCAACGCCTCGGCCGTCTCCTTCATGGCCAAGACCTACCCGGGAAAAACCGACGAAGAGTACCGTCGCCAGCTCGGCGCCTTCGGCATCACCGGCACCACGGGTCTGCAGAAGATGGAGTTGTTGTCCGGTGGTCAAAAGTCCCGTGTAGCGTTTGCCTGCCTGGCGCTCACGCAGCCGCACATCTTGGTTCTCGACGAACCGTCGAACCACTTGGATATCGAGGCCATGGATGCGCTGTCGGAAGCGCTGCAGAAGTTTGAGGGTGGTGTGCTGATGGTTTCGCACGATGTGACCATGTTGCAGACGGTGTGCAAGAGCTTGTGGGTGTGCGAGAATGGAACGGTCGAGAAGTTTCCCGGTGATGTGCAGGCGTATAAGAAGAGGATTGCGGCGCAGGCGGATGCGGCGGGGGTTGTTAAGAAGCATTAAGATAGGATGGATAGTGTACTAAGTGGTTGTTGGGTGGGAAGGGGATAAAAGTGCTGTCTGTATCTACAAAGCGAAAAATCGAAAGGTTGATGAAGCGATATGGCTTCCGTGCTCTCTCTTCCTATGACTGGTGTGGTTGAAGTAAATCAATCCCCCCAAAGAAATCATAACCATGGCAAAACAAGGTGGCTTTTTCACTTAGTCTTCAGTGCAACTTCCACTTCAGGTTTTGGCTGCTGTGAAGTCACCTACTAGGGGAAATAACCACCACCACCACATGGCCGTCTCCTTGAAAACTCGTCTTACAGTTGGGTGCAATCTTTGGGGTTGTTTATGGGGGGGGGTTTCGTTCTGGGAGGGAGGTTCTCGCTCAAACGGTAAACGTTACATAGTAAGTATTGAATGCCCTTTTTATTGTGTTAAGTTTCGTGAACATTTCTGTTCGCGAACAAGATACAAAAACAAAGAGGAAGAGAGCCTAGTACGTTCACGTATCTGATCTATCTTGGAAACTGGCAGTACCAGGCCTCATGTCAAGTAGCATCTCACTATTCACTTTCACTCTTCTTCTATTGTAGGATACATCGGTCATAGTATGTCAAGAGAGATATCTTCGCATATCACTCACTGCAGTGATATATCACACCTCGCCACATACCTTAATAGCGTCGGTTTAACAAGGTCCGTGGGAAAAGAGCAGACGGCAGTATTGTTGGCAGTTGCTTACTTGCTACGATGGAGTGCGGAAAAGCAGTCATCAAGTGATAATCTGTAGGTAGCAGGCGATGGGAACGCATATCAAACATCTCCTTCATCTCTCACATGACGGAGGCAAATAGGAAGAGCGTGTTCACAATGCAATCTACAGGTGTTTGTTGTCGAAGCCGAGGATATTTGTGTGTACAACCAGTTCGATTTCTACATTCTAGGAAAACAGATAGATGGTGAAAGCCTGAATGAAGGCTTGGATCCGCTTCATACCACCAGAGAATTCAACAACCGACAGGCTTGGACGGGAGTGCAACCAAGTCACGAACATCCCATCACCATGTTTCGTATTCAAATCTGGCCAAGAAACATCACATCGGAAAGCATTGGAATCACAAACTGGAAGCAGTCACAGAAGGCACTATGAAAGCATGGTTGAAAAAGACTGAAAACTTTTGATTTGGTTTCGGCTGGATGTAACAGCTAGGAAAGGTATCTGAAAACCCCAAGACCAGGAATATCCCTAATCGCGATCTATGAATCAAGCGACGCTCAATAAATGATAACTCAAAAATGAAGAGAAATAAGAATTTCACAAAAGACAATGAAACCCCTCCTCGATGCCCGTCATCGAGGGATATTTTTTTATTCAAGGAGCCGAAAGGTTCGGTTTACTCCGTAGACGCACCGTGCGCCAAAGCCAGGTTCTTCCAACGGTCGCGCTCTGCGATAAGTTCCTCGATCTTGGCTTCCAACTCCTCCAAGCGCTGAGCCTTGCGCTCACGAGACTTGCGAGCAGCCAAGGTGTTGCGGGCGCGCTTCATGGCAACGACATCGGAAGGATCCTCGACGATGATGGGAGGCAGAGGCTTGTCGCGACGGCGAGAGCCAACACCAGCGACCGACGAGTGACGACCGCTGGGAGAGCTGACAGACGACTTCCTCCTCTGATGACCAGAGCCCGGAGACGAAACCTCCAAATCCTCAGATTGTGTAGCAGGCGAAGCTTCAACAGAGTGAACTGTTTGCTCGACGGTCGGCTGAACGGTCTGCTGCACAGGCTGGATCAACTCAGGCTGCGGTTGTGTTTGCTGCTCAGCCTGAGTCTGAGTCTGAGCCTGAGGTAGCGGGTTGGCATCAGGGAAAAGCGAGAACCAAGAGTCTGGGTTGTCCAGGTCGCTATGTCCAAAGCTGGGAGAGATGTCGAAGGTGTCGAAATCCGGCGAACCGTCGAAGATCGAAGGCGAAGTCAAAGCCGTAAGAGCAGTGGAGCTAGGGGCAGACAAGTACGGCTCATGGAGCAGAAGCTCCTGAGGCGAGACAGTGCCCATGTTGGAGACGGAGCTAGGGACGCTGGTCGAAAGATCGTATGTCTGGTTGGCAGGCGAAGCGAACGCCGCCTCGGTGGTAGCTCCACCGTCAAAGGTGGCGAAATCCAACAGGTCCAGTTCTGCGTGAGGTTGTAAGCGCATGTTGGGAGGCGGCAGGTGATAAGAGGTGTAATTACCTGAGAACATCTTGTTGCCCTGCTTTCCGTGCGGGATGCTACCGGTACTTTTGGGAAACAAGGGAACAGGAGGGCGCTGCTGTGCGCGGTTCTGAGTGTTCAGATTCAAAGCTGAAGAAGGTGCTGAGGAAGCGTAGAACTGTTGCGGACGCGAGTTCTGAGTAGAGCTGTACCGATTGGTGAAAGCCGAAGAAGTAGTTTGGTGCCCTGTTGCCTGGATGATGTTTGCAACTCGCTGGTTCTGCAAAGACGGAGAAAGATGCTGGCTACGATGTTGCTGATTCAGGTTGATACCTCGGGTTGGAGGCTGGAGAGCGTTGCGATTATGTTGACGGTGTGGTCTGATCGGCTGATCGAACAAGACAAAGTCCTGAAGTGGTGGCTGTTGTTGTGCTGGTGATTGCGCGGAGAGTGCCGGCAGGCTCGGTGAACTGGAGGGAAGCCATGTTGACTGTTGGGAATCCGTGGTGAAGACTGGGAAGTCTTGGCCGTGAATGGTGGCGGTGGGGGTAAGAGAACTTGAGCGCGAGCTACGAGGCTGGGTGCTGAAGTTCAGATCTACCTGGGAAGGAAGAGCTGAAGGTGTTGACGAAGAGGGGGAAACGTAAAATTGTTTAATGTTGACGGTTACCGAACTGGAGTTCGAAAAAACGGGGGAATGGGGGCGATTTAACGCATCTTGATGGATGCCTCTGGTGATACTGTTTTGGTTTGGTAGGGTGAGTTTGGTTGGAGAGAAGAGAAAAGAAGGTCAAAGAGGGAAAAATGGGCGGAGGGGAAGGATTTTGTATCAGGCAGCAAAACTGGCCCTGGCAGTGCCGGCGAGGCACCCACGCACGGCCGCGCAACCGGCTGGCCGTTGCCCACCGCGAAACCCTTTCTGAAAGGCCAGATGGAAGTGTACCACAGTGCGCGGCCACAAGCCAATCCAGGCGCCAGGGATCCACCACCCACCCACAGGATCCTATTGTGCGCTCTTATTGGTTGGACCACGGCCAGCCGAAAGGGGAAGTATGAGTCACAGCACCTGGACAAGAAACTAGCAGAAGTAACTTGAGATTAGTGACAATATTCTGTAGAGTCTTTGGATGGAAACACGAAGCAATCCTGCGGGTTGGTAAAGCACTGCCCCACCTGAGGCAGTCAGCCCCACCGATCGAATTGCCAAGCGCAAAGGCTAGCTGGAGAGCCCCGAAATGCTCCCTGGAGAGCCTCCCCACTTTTTAACACTGAGTAAGCACAGCCAGCCGCCCAGCCGCCCAGCCCAGCCCAGCCTAATACACCGTATACATTGCTACTCAACCGCCGCCACTACGCTATCTTTATTAGTAATTATTAGTCTTATATATAATTGAATAAAACTATCACAAGGTTTTATTTTAATATTAAACAATTATTTATAATAATTATTTATCGTCTTTATTATTATTTTGTATAATATTCTTAGCCTTGTTGTATCGCGTTTATTAATATACTTCGCTCGCCCGCCCGCCCGCCTGTAAGCCGTATATTAAATAAATTAAACTGCTAACACAACTGATTAAAAAGACTAATTCTAACTGCAATTAAATAAATTTTCCCCCTAAAATAATTCCTAATTAATTTTAAATAATTATTCCTAAGCTGAATACAATTCCCCTCGTCGAATTTCAATTGTTATTAATCCACCGCTATCGATACTAACTATTGAAATTAAGAACGCAATCACTGTCCCTAACGTAATCACCGTCCCTTAACGAACGCGCTATCTAACTAGCGAAGCTATTAGCGAGGCTATTATTTACATCTTCTAATTATAATAATATAGTTGTTATCTCTAACGCGCTATAAGATTACTACGTACAATAAGGTTTTACAATCGTATCGTATAGTCGGTTAAAAAGTAAAAAGAAAGGGGAGAAAGAGGTTATTAGACGGGTCGATTATTATTATATATATAGCCGTATTTATAACGGTATTAAATAAAGCGTTTAAAATACTAATTCGAAGCGACTCGACTACCTATACTAAGTAAAAGTAGTATTAAGGAAGAAGTAGGATAATTAATAGTTTATTAAAGAGATTAAGAATTAATACAATTATAATTTTAATATCGCTAACTTCGCTAGTAATATTATTTATTAATAATAGGTATGCTATAATTATAAAGAGGCTATTAATATTATTATTAAAAAGTTATTTAATATTGTTAGAATAACCGCTTATTAGATTACTTATTATTTAAATAGTATTTTTAATCCTAAAAAAGAAGATTCGGTTGATATTTAACGCGCTAACCGTAATAATTTAGTATTCGAACTACGTAATTTTCAAATCACTATTATAATAAAGAAAATATTAAATATTTAATAGCGTATCCGCTGTATAAAATGTAATCCTTATTCTTCGATTAAAATACTTATCGATTTACTAGAATAATATAAGAACCATTATAATATCGAACACTTTATTAAATATAACGGAGAATACGTAATACGAATATTTTAGACGTTCGATTAATATATCGAAATATAGAAGAAAAATCCCTATATCTTACTAGTCGATAATATATATAAAGTATTATTACCTTCATTAATTTAATTATTCTTATAGGGTTTAATTAATTAACCCTTTTTTTTTCCTTATAGGTTAACTGCTTTAACCTTCCCCTTCTTAACGTTATTAATATTAATATATTAAGTTATAACTTTAATATAACCTTCGGTCTCTTAAATAAGGAAAAATAGGAAGACTTTAAATAGCAATTTAATCACTTAAAGAAACTCTAAAAGGATTACAATATTCCTAACCCCATAATATTTATTACCGATTTCGATAAAGAGTTTAAGAAGGCCGGTATTACTACTTACCTAAATATACTATATTAATTCTATATATAGTACATTATAAAGAACGTAAACTATTATATTAAGAAAAAGTAAATATAACCGCTCCTAAATAGTAATAATAATAGTAATAATCCTACCCCCAGTATTAACCTATTAAATCTCCCGCTAATTATTCGGGATTTAAATAATTATAATCCTAACCTCCTATTATATTAAAACCCCACGGCGGCTAATAATAATAAAGCTAGCGATAATAATATTAACGAAGAGGATGAATACATTGATAACGACTTAGAAGAAAACAACCCGGAAAAAATTAATAATACTACCGCCGCTAACTGCCTTACTTAATAACCTAATAATAAGTAAAGAATTCATATCGTAATTAATAAGCCGCTAGCTAAAACTATCGCTCTACGTAACTGTATCCATAACGTACCAATTTTCAACCCCGCTCGTCGATTCTATCCAAATACGCATAAGAGCTTTCAAGCAGCTTAGAAACAAATAATTTATATAAATAACGATAATTACCTCAAATAGGCATAGTATTTAATAACTCATAAATTTAAACGATAAATTCGTATATTATCCCCCTTCCTCTCTATAATATTTATATACCTTTTTCGTTAACACTTTCCAACTCTCTTTACTTACTTTTATAAATATTACCTCCTATCAATTAACGAATTTGATAATTACGCCGTTTCGAAATATAAAAACTTTAGTATTAAAGCAACTAGCCGAATCGAATTTATATATAGAACTATTAAACGTTTTTTTTTGAAAAACCGCTTCTCTTCTTTAAATTAACTATATAAATATATACAATCTACCTACCGCTCTCAAAGATAAAAATTCAAATCCAAATATACAACAACAAAACAAACAATTTTATATAAATATAAAAAAGTAAGGATATTCGATAATTTAATATTAAAAGTATATAAAAATATAATTGTTTATTATTACTTACATGAATACAATTACTTTCTTCTACCCTCTAAAGGTCTAATTAATTAACCTCCTTTTTTTTTTATATAAGTAGCACTATATACCCTCAAATTTATATAGTACTAGTACTACTATACGTATAACGACTAGCTTAAAATCTATATTAAAACCCAAACCTCAACTATAAAAAGGAATTTACTATATAATATAAGCTACCTTATAAGTATTTCATATTACAGCTATTACAAATAAATCCCCTATTAATATTTATTATAAAAAATATTAATATATATTAATAACTAAACGGCTTGATAATAAAGGTTAAATATTGTACCTATATAATCTAAAACCTTATTACTTTACTTAACTGCCAATGAAAAGTAATTATCCCCGATTTAGACTTTACAGATTATATACGTAGAATATTAGAGCAAAACCTTATAAACCTAGAAGTTTATAAACTACGCGAATTCGAAGGTAATTAAGTACTACCCACCCAACCTACCCAACCTTAACCCTAAGCCGTTACGCCTACTATAACTGTACTTATTAATTATAACCGGTATAATAATTACTACGTACTTTCTTACAACGAACCTCCTTACTGGGTAATATAGTAAGAAATATAAAAAAGAAGGAAGAAAGGGGGGGGTATATAGAGGGCGTCCCGTACCTGTAATAATATTATTTAAAATAATTTATAACGAACTATTACAAAGGTAATTAATAATATAATTAATAATACGGTTAAAACTATTATAACGCAATTAATTCCAATTCCAACGCCCTTTCTAATTCCTTCGCCCTCGTCTTTTTACCTTCTAATTCCCTTATAGAAGGCTCTAGTGCCCTCCCCATCTCCCTATCCCTAAATTTAGTAATAGCCGCCAACTTAATAATAATTGTCTACTAGTTTTAATTAATGTAATTATAGAGTGCTAGCGCTAATTAAATAGTTATCTGAATCCCCTATTCTTAATTTAAATAGTTATTAAAATTAGTATAGTGATTAAGTACTAAGTACGGCTAAGCTTAGAGATTATATACTTGCTCGGCTAGAAGTAAGGGAGGCTCTTATAATTCGTACTATAAATTATTATACTAGGCCAATTAATTCTATTATTATTTAGGCGCTTCCTAAAGACCTAGACCTCGCTCCTTCTCCCTCTAATTAACTATAATATAATTTATAGGGCTATATTATACTAGTAATATAATATAATTAAACCCTTATAACTATAGTACTACTTCTAGTACTTATACGGAGCGGAGGATAGGTATTAAAGAATTTAAATAAGAGGTTAAATTTCTAACTACCTCCCTAGTACTCTAGGTAATACTTATATAGCGGGCATTAAAATTAGGGTAGGCACGTGCACTCTGGGTCTAGGTAGTAAATATAGTAATAGGGCTAGTATAGAGGATAGTAGTATTATTAGCAATTATAATATCAATCGCTTTAGTAGTAGACAATTGATTAGATTAATAACTCTAAATAATTTTACGTAAAAAATAACGCCAATAACATAGATTTGGCAATGCGCGGGCATCGATTATGTAGCTTCAGTTGTATACGGTGTACTAGGCTGTGCTGGGCTGGGCGGCTGGGCGGCTGGCTGTGCTTACTCAGCGTTAAAAAGTGGGGGGGGGGGGGGGGGGCTCTCCAGCTAGCCTTTGCGATTGCCAAGAGCCAATAGAGACGGGAAACCAACAGTGATGGAGCACCATCCGGATGCCCTGGACCTCGCTCGCTTGCCTGGAGACAGGGCCTCCAACCAAGGGCGCGGAAAGACGATCTCCAAAGTCGAAACGGTCAGGAAAGAACGCATCACATTGAACAGCGAGCGGGATGGCTTCAAGCCAGCTTGTAGCAGAGCTTCGAGCTGTGCGCGTGTCCACACCCAGGCATCCATCCAGCTCACCAGCCAGGCACTTGGAAAGAGCCATCAAAAGGCCACGAGTCCATTCAAATAGTGAGGCCCCAACAAGGCAGGGACAGTCGGAACTTTTCCAGGCTGCAAAGTCCAAAAGGATCATCGATTCATCGGTTTTCCGCTCCGCATGAGGGATCTTCTCCCCTCCGACTTAGTGTCCCCCCCCCCCCCCCCAAAAAAAAAAAAAAATTGCAGCCGGTTTGCGTACCGACGAAAGCCCGATTCCTGTTTGGAACTGAAATCCGACTCCGTTTTCCTCCACTTCAAGAATTGCGCAAAAGTCTCCCGCATGGCTCCTCCATGCTCCCACAGTGCTGTGAACACAGTCGCTGGGAATGATGGATCGGAAAATACCATACCCACGGAATAAAACTCTTTGCGTTTTGCTTCTTGTGCGGAATTCTCCTTCTCATCGGCCAGCCTTATCGAGCTGTGCGGTCCATGTGCCAACAATGAAAGAAGCTCACCGACGCCAGACCCGACTGAGTTCTTGCGATACATACCGATATCGGACAATCGAATTCATACATAAAAGGCTGGCGGCATTTGAAACTGGTTTGTTCTTCTGTGATGTGAAGATCTCGATCTCGCAGCAACGCTGCCATTCAAGATCAACAAAGCTTTGTCGTCGAATCACGAAAGTCAATTGCAGATTTCTTCTCACACGTCTCCGCGGGGAAGCCATGATACTTTTGAGTGGGTGAGCTTGGCGGCCAGGGCGGCGGGTGGGTCAAAAAAAGACTACACACGGCCTCACCAAAAAACAGTCGTCGTACTTGTACATAGTATGTGTACGCAGTAGTCTTTTATTTGACCCACCTGGGCGGGCAACCTAAAAAGGTTTCCACATTTCATTGTAACTCGCTGACTCACCACTGTCCACCGGATAAAAACCCGTTTTGCGGTGTTTCGTTCTTAGCGAACGCTGGAATCGAGATCCGTTGTGCTGGGCACACTTGACGATGCAGTAGCGAACGGTCTCGATGTGAATAGCGTTGAATAGGCTTAAACAAAGCGAAATAGTAGCAGCGGAGTAGAGTGGGGAATGGAGCAGGTTGGTCCGCGCAGAATCCTTTGGTCCCTTTTTTCCTATGAGGTATTTCAAGATTACAGTGCTGTACGTACATACAGTACGTACACCGACAGCCGGAAACATTGGTATCAGTGCGTTGAAAGATCTACCGGTTGTCGGCCGGCTGAAAGACAGGTATTTTTCACCTCCCGTAAAGCTGTGATACCGGTAGCCGAACAAGCCGTAACCGACGGAAACTATCGATCTGCATCCGAATAGCCTCCTCAATCGATGTTACGGTATCATGATGGTGAGCGAAAAGGGCGAAGTTGTTGATGATGTCTTAACGAAATACGTCAACAAGAGTGTTCACAGCTCAAGACGGCCACCGGCAGGCAGGTCTTGAATCGTGAAGATTCTTGAGAAGCAGGTTCCGGTCCAAGATCTCGAGACAAAACACGGTTCCAAACCGCCAGGGCTGATACGGCGATGAAGGCAAGAAGTTGAAAAAAAATTTAAACATGCACATGCCGCTCGCTCATGCATGCATTGCCCTGTCATCTCGATATCCCCGGTGGAACGGTGATAAGGACTTGGGCCACTCCGAGCCCTGACCGCGTTTCGCGGGTCAACTACGGGTCTACCACGGGGCAACTATGGATATTTTTGACAACCCAGAATCGTGAAACCGGCGGTAGACGTCGTCGTCCCCCAATGGCTCACGGCCGGCCTTGTCCGGAGGGCCTGAAAAGAACCCGGACTCCACTACCGATTACTATCCGGAGAGTGGAAACTCCACCGGGATGTCGCCATCGTTTACCAGCCTCGTTAACCAACTGCGCCAAGCGCCGAGCCTTGAAAAGTTTCACGGCCACCGGACTACGGACCGTGCGGACCTGGTTAAAGTGGGGGTTCGGAGCGGGTCAACGGGTCTCGGGGGGGGGGGCGAGACTCTCGGAGACCATGTTGACGGAGTTGACGCCATTTGATCGCCGTGGAGATCGTGGAGCAATCTTTTCACAAGCTGGTAGCAAGCTGATATCGCCAGCAAGGGCGGTGATCGAAACTCGAAAGATCAGGACACACGGGAATATGGAATACGGGCAGGACGGGGGGTACATAGGTGGAGATGGGATACCGTCCGATCTTGACGGTCGACACGGGAGTCGGGAGCAGAGCTGAAAAGGTTCGTAGTTCGTCATCACATATTGATATGGAGCATGTTGGGCTTTCACATGAAAGCGTTTGTATTTGTTCAGCCAGGTACAGGTGCAAGCTCACCACGGCAACCTCCTTGTTTAAGTCAACTTTGAAGTTATGCTTCATATTCATGTTTGCGTTAAACCTATTCTCATCCATTCATTACACATTGTTCATTTTCCAACACCTTTCTTCAGGTGCCGGTTTTTGTCGCCGTCTAGTCGTCATGCAGAACCAGAACCATTTCGAGCCCAAACACTTACCTGTTCGAAGCGGCCAGTTGATCATGACCAGGTATATTATATCCAAACCGAAAACAAAAGATGACCATCCAAAAAACATCAGAGACTCCAGGAATCATGAAACCCCTCACAACAACGCTCCCCACGGATGCTGATAAGGCGACGGCTGCACTTGATCCAACGGCGCCTTCTGCGCCGCCGGATCATTCGGCCAATGCCCACTCTGATGGTGCTTCACCAGATTCGACGGCTCCCTGCTCACATACGCATCCGGATTCTCCCTCATGATCACATCCTTCCTTCCCACCGCATCCCAATTATAGTTCCCCTCGTTGGCGGCCTTGAGGGCCTCCTCCAGCCACTTCTTCCATTGAAGCGTGCCGGGCAGGGCACCGGACCGATCAACCCACGCGTCCTTCTTGGTCTCGCGAATGGCGTACCAGAGCGTCCTCGTAAAATTGGGCGGCACGTCATTATCATTGTTGCTCTTGACGTCCTCGGGCGTGATGTCCGTGATTGTATACCGCGACAGGTCCCAGAAGAAGCGCTGCGGCAGCAGGCCGCAGACCCAGTAGATGCTGTTTAACAAGACGTAAGCGCCGCCGATCAAGGCTTGGGACGACCACCGGCAGTTACCCAACAGCACCACGGCCACCATGAGCAAAACCATGGCGATGCCCATGAACAGACGGTGGTATTTCGTGGAGACGTAGCGGCACTCTTCCGTGCCCTGGTACAGCTCGCGCGCGACTTCCTCGGTGCATTTCACTACCAAGAAGGCGCCCTCGCGCGTGCGGATGACCACGTCGCCCGGTGGCACCTTGGCGTTGGCTTGTCGCGCCATGAGAAGCGGGTACCACCAGGATGCGTAACCCATGACGGAGGCGGCGACGGAGATGGTGACGATGGCGGTCACGGCCGCGCCGTCGTTCCAGTAGGCGGAGATGATGAGGATCGCGACGGTGATGAGGAAGGAGAACACGTTGATGACGTGCATGGGCGAGTCGAGGGCGGGGGGAACGGTGTAGCGCGCGTTGGGGCTGCTGGCGACGCGTTGGGGGGTCATCATCTTGGGCGCGGTGACGATGTCGGTGATGCGCTCGGACATGGTCGGTTGGCGATTGATGCCGGGCGTGGGGACATGGTCGCCGTGCTCCGGGTCGACGTCGAGGGTGACGTGCTTGTTGGTGCCGTTTCGCCTCCTGACGGCATCTGCGTCTGCGTCTGCGGTTGTATCGGTGTTGACTTCGTGGGCTCCCGAACCGTTTGCGCCGTTCTCTCTTGTGTTGTTGATTGTGATCTCACTGTTCTTTTGTTCCTGCTTCTTCGCCTTCTTTCTCTTAAGCCATCGGATACCGAAAACGGTCCCCAGAAAGCCTTCCTTCTCCAGCCGTCTGCTGAAGTCGGCCTTGAGGAGATGTGTGTGCTTGATCTCGAACACTCTAAAGTCGAACGCCCTGTACTCGTCAAGTGGGTGCAGAATGTTGGCAAAGAAGCCGACAGAGTCGAGGAGAGTGCCGCCGTAGACGCCTGCCAGTTTGGCGTGGACTTCGGGCAGTCGCTGGGGCCGCTGCGGACGGAGCAGGGCCTGGGGCGCGGGAATCAGGCGCGGAAGCATGCAGAGAGAGCTGGCGGTGATGGTTTGGGCGAATTCAGCAACGCTGCCTTCGCCAATGATGGCCAGCAGCGTGATGACATCGAAACTCCATCCCGGATTGATGTTCTTGCCCAAGGGGAACCAGTGGTAGAAACCATCCGAGTCGGGGTCGGGCATGATGTTCAAGTAACTGGTCTAGTAAACCAGTGGTTTTGGTTTGAGGACTATCGTGAATCGTTCGAGTATATCAGACTGATGGTCGCCAATGGCTTGACGTCCTTGGTAAGTAGAGGAGTGCTATGTCGCTGGCAGGCTCAAATGCGATCGAGATGCGAACGGCTATCCAAGACGATCCTTTGGTATGGTATTCCGATCGAGAATAGGTATGAAGGGTGATAATGAGTTGGTATATGCCTGTTAACGCCTTGTTAGTTATATACACCTTAGAGCGTGTTGCTATCTCGAAAACGTGGAGGAACATACTAAGAGTACTCTGAAGAGAAGAAAACGAAAAACCAGCTCCAACCGCAAAAGTAGGTAAGAGGTCGCAAAGGTTCTCAAGTCTCCAAGCCTCCTTTTTGAACCTTCAGAGGCAAGTCAGTTTTCTTTCAACAAACCAGGCTGCGTCCCAAATCACGGGGCGTCAGCACTACTTTTTATTGATGCGTTCTTGGGCTCTGAAAGTGAGGATCTTTGTAAAAGCGCCAACAAAGTGGAGTATCCACCTAGAGAGGACCAGAAGGCCTGTAGAAATCAGCTGCAACGCGCCCAGCTAGGCGATAGGCAAACCAGCCTCCCACCTTTCAACGGTCGAACGGTCTATCGACAAGGGTGACTTGACTGGGGAAAGATAGAGAGAGAGAGTGCTGTAAACATAGAAATAGGTAGAACTCGGCACACTTTCACAGCGATGTGTGAAGAGGGGGATAACAAGTTCGTGGCCAGATTTATATTGCATGAAAGAGAAGAAAAAAGATGCATTGAAAGTCGCCTAGTCCCGTCCCCGATCGGCGATATGAGCCTCCTTGAAGTGTTGCCCGAACTACTGTGTATGTAACACCGCGCCCGGGCTGAATGCTGAATGCAACCCTCGCGGTAACAACTCAACCATCACAGCCTCCCAGAGTCCCAGACAGCCAGAGTCCCAGCGCCTGGCCCCCATATCCGGGGCAGGCAATAACGCAATGGACGGAAATGATTGAGACTTGTCGCGGATAGCGAACCACCACCAAGCACAGAGTAAGACGCAGCACGCAGGGGCTGAACTCGAAATGGTCAAATGGGATGGCGGGTGGGTGCCGCTTGGAGCCTTGGTGCGTTTAGTCTGTAGGCAGCGCTATTCCCGCCAACCTGGTTGGTGTACCGCCTATGGGCGTTATAGGCGTGTATCATTTTGGGTATAGATCCAACGCGCCAAGCTGCATGAGACCCCTTCCCCCCTCCTTCCATCAAGAACAGCCAGACTGAGAACCTTGCAAGATGCCAGGTGGGCGGCTCAGACGAGCCACGCGAGGCTCTCCGTGTCTGTTCTGAATGATGGCCGATGTTTGGACGCCTGGGAGATGAGAGGTGCGGTAATGTGTGACAGATCATGGTCCTTTCCTTGTTGTGTGTCTCTCTCAGCCCCGAACTGGTGTGCTGAGGCTGTGAGTATATGCTGCTGGTAGCCGCTCTGCTTATTGAGCTTTGGAAGGGGGATAATGGTTCCGAGTCGAAGAGGTTGAAGATGGGGAATTTTTGACATATGCAGCGAGTAAAGCATGGAAGAAGCAACAGTTGTAAGGGACAGAGCATAAGGTACGATAGGGGAATACAGTAAAGACTAAGCAAGGCCCAGTGTGCTTCTTAACGAGGAGTAGAAGAACTTCCGCCATGGTTAATAAGGAAATGAAGTGAAAAGACGCCTCTCTAACGTGTGCAAACAACCACAAAGATCTCGCGTAAATCAAGATAAAGAAAAATCACCGCTTCTGGATTGACTTATAAGACCACTGCGCCAACAAACCTTCGAGTTCCCTTCTTTCTAAATCTGCCGCCCTCATCGTCCATCCCGTCGCATTTGAGAAAACCTTAAAAGAAAATAATAAAAAAGCAAGCGCCACACAGCGTGAAAACCCCCGTCATCGGTGTATCGTAGGCCATCTCTTCGTAACATCGGCCATGCCTAGCCGTCATGAACTCAGAGACATGAAAACTAGTTTTTCTGCTGCCTCAGCTTTCCCGGCACCAAGCTCGGATATTCCATTACCAGCTGGTCACAGAATTCCTTCCATAGCTTCTCCCATGTCCTCCTGGTTTGGTACCTCTCCTCGGCATCCATACAGGAGTGGTCAATGCTCCACTCAATCAGTTGACGTAGCCCATGAAGTGTCATATCTGCCTTCCCTACCATAATTTGATAGAAGTCATGAGACAAGCGAGATCTGTATGAATGATTATTAGCAGGCTGAACACCAAGCTGGAGTTCATAAGAACAAACCTGAAGAGAGTCCCGTTGTCGGTGCTAATGGTGCAGTGCACATCGTTTGCCAGCATGTTATAAACGGTATGCCCGCTGATCCTCGGAGTGAGGCCCAAGATCTCGTTGGAGATAGGGCACACCTCGACACAGACATTTTGCTTCTTCATTTGCTGCATGACGTACGGATGCCAGGCCAACGCGAAGCCATGGCCGATACGTTTTGATCCGAGAAGAAGAGCGTCCACCAAGTTGCCGTCGGTCTCCGTGCCGACATCCAGAGTCTCGCCGCAATGGAACAAAAACGGAATGTCGACGTTTGCCTTCTTACATTTGTCCTTGAACTCTAGGAACTGCGGAATAAAGTAACTGAGTGGATGACCTGCGCCTTCCTCGCCAACAAGATCGAATCCTACAGAGCTTCTGTTAGCCTTCGCTTCCCCGTGTCGGCGGCTGCAGAATACGACATACCGGCGATATATTTCGCATAATTGCACTCTTTATCCAGCTTCATCTCCAAACACTGGTCCAGGGCAAATTTGACCTGGTCGGGTTTGAAAGACCGTGGTGTGCAGTAGATGATTTTGAGCCCCTTGAAGACTTTTCCCCCGTGAGCCTTCTGGAAGTTCTCATACACACCAATGATGAGGTTCATTATTCCGTAATTGTCAATCCTATCCGAGCCATCGTTGAACCAAACCTGATTGTTTTCCATGAAGTTGGGGCGAATCTCGGCGTATTGGATGTTGTCGTTCACGAACTCCTCCAAGCACTCTCGCGTGTACACCTCGTAGGCTGCCCTATAGTTGAACAGCCCTTTCATCATCTGTGTATGAGAATCAAACCTCTGCCAGGCGCTGTACACGATGTTAGCTTTGCGACTGGCACGAAACAATTGAGTCCACGTAGAACCTACCCCTTAGCCGTTTGGTGCGGACTGTAAGCCTCATCCGCCTGAAACACGATTTTGCGTGTCAGATATTCGTCGACAAGATCGTTGTTATCCACTCCTTTTAACGGATCGTTGGTGTCGCCTGCGTAAGCGTCCCTGTACTTCTTCCAAAATTTATCGCGGAATTCATATTTGTAACGCATGATGTGTTTCGGCTGGCCAGACTCATTTTGATCCTCTCCCTTGCTAAAGAGATCCGGTCGCCCCGACCAAGTTGCGTCGAAGTTCTTCTGGCTGAGAATGCTAAACTTCAAGTGGCATCGCTCAAAGGCCTCCTTGCTGATCAGGGGTATGTCGCTCATGATGTACATGTAGTCTTGGTCTTTCGCAATGTTGAGCAACACTTCAGGGAGCAAATTGGCGTTGAAATGTATGTGAAGATGGGCGCCTTTGGGTATTTTCTGGATGGCCCGGTAGAGTCTCGTTTTCTCGATGATTGGGGCATTGAGTAGAAAACGATCCCCAGGGACGCGCTTGTGTTTCTGTCCAGCATACCCCTCGATTCTGGCCTCCTTGTCGTAGACATCGATGACGTCTAGCTTCTTGAGTTCTTGGATCACCGCATTTGCCTCCACCTCCCATTCTTCCGCCTCCCTTGTGCAATGGTGGTCGAACCCAAGTGCCTTCTCGCGCCTTTGGACCTCCTCATGCTGCTGGAGATATTCCTTCGTGACACCTTCGAATGGCGTCTTCTCCTTTGAATCCGGGAGCGCGTTGAATTTTTCCTGAGCTTTTTTGCTTAACACCTTCGGGACGGTGGGCGTGTCGATGTCTTCGTCTTCTTGGAGCAGCTTGAGGAGTGTGAGCTTGTCCTTGTCCCTCGCTAAAATCACTTTATCGAATGCTTCGACCACATCATACGGCGTGGGAGGAGGCTTTCGCAGTTTTTCGCTGCTATGTTGAGACATCTGGTCCGGTATAGGTATGGCTGATGGGTGGCTGGACTGAGTGAACGAAAAGATCCTTCGTAGCTTGGTTGTTAGAGGACGAGGGGAACTCGGGTCTGTTTTTCGTGCCATGCCACACATCTCGTAGGAGGACTGACAAGACTTTATGGTCTTTACATGTGGGTTTGCTTCAACGCAACGGCTCCCTCTCGCCCTCCCTTTACGCATCCGGCAAGCGGTTGAGTTGAGATGATAAAGAGCCCGTCGTTGGCAATCTCCCTTTCAAGTAGATAAAGTGATTGCTCGACAGATCGCGCAAAACAGCCCGATGATAACAATGAAAGGGCGGTCCAACTTAGTTGAGAGAACGGGCCAACACAAACGCTCCTAGCCTATGACGACCTTGGACGAGTCGGCATCGTTGGACTCGATCGCGCCAAACAGGGGTAGCTCCTTAAAACAAAGGGATCAAAAGCGTGGAGCCGCGTGGAGCGGTTTGTAAGAGGACCTTATGATGGTTTCAAAGGCCAAATTGAGGTCAGTGGATGTTCAGATGAACTGAATGTGAGGGTCACAAGTCTCGGCAGGGCTGTAAGGCACAGGCAGACGACGCCAAGGGTAGGAGCCCCTCAGAAACTTGTGCACATCCTCGCTTCGCGCCTTCTGCTAGGAATGCCCTTTTTAGGATGCCACGAGCCTGTGTGCCTTCCGATAAACAGCTGTCACGGTGCCATCATAGCTTAAGACACCTACTCGCCTAGTCATGCGCCCGGCCATCTCCCTTTTTACCTGGTAGGAAAAGTTGTGTTGCAATCTGTCAGATTCCAGGGTAGCATTCTACCCAGATATGGGTTAGATACCAGAGTCCCAACCACCTGATTTACAGGTCTTGGCAAATATGGGTTACCCCCAGAACCCTCAGACCTTCTGGAATAGAGCGCTCGAATTAATCACATAGAATCAATCAACCAAATTACACCAATAAATCTAATAATTAACAATCTAATACGCGCCCTATTAATATAATAATTAATACTACGAGTTAATAATAAATAATATAAGAATAACACAATATTTCTTTCAAAGCCTATTAATAATACTAAAGAGAATATTACCTACCTAAAAGATAGCGATAATTAAATCCGCTAGGAGCCTATATTCTAATTAAAATATAATTTAAATGTATTTAAATATTAGTTTTAAAGTACTATCAAAAAACCTACTGTACCGAAATAACTTTATCCTAACTATTATCCTATTATAAAGATAGTTAAACCCGTATTAACGAAGCTAAAATAGAATTTATCCTTTTTAATAGTAGAATAACCGTCCGTACTATTATTAATTAAGTTAGGGAATCCTAGGAGGTATTTATTAAGTATTATATTAGAAATAAAATTTTATTCGATATTTTCACTAACGAAGAGAATTTAATTAATAAATAATTTTTTAAATGGGAGTTTACGCTCTACCCCAATAATAAAAAGAATTAGAAGGAGTTCGTAGCTAGTAATAAAGTTATACGTACTTAAATAAAATTATTAATTAATTACGGATTATAAAATAGCGCTATAAAAGAAGAGTAGTAAATTAACGAGTAGTACCGGAATTTTAAAAATATAATTAATTATAAGGCCGTCGATAAATAAATTAAAATTAAGAAATAATATTATAAAACCGTCGTTATCCTAACGAAGGAACCTAAGAATTAGATTAATTAGCTTTAAACTTAGTCTACCGCTATAAATAACGGACAAATTATAGGAGTAAGGGAAATTAAAGTTACTAACTTCTAATATATTGATTTTATTAACGTAATTAAAATTATATATCTTAGGTAGTATAAAGGTACTTAGAAATTCAATAAAGAAATAGCTAACGGTATATTTAAATATATAAACGTTTATAAAGATTTTTAAAAATATAGTATCGATACTGCTAAATATAGGGTCGCTATTGGAAAAGGAAGATATTATAACGTTTTTAATATTAGCGAAATTAGTATCGAATATAATTAAACAAGCTAGGGTGCATATGCCTAGTAAGCCAAACTTATAAAAGATAGGACGATATTCTGCTTGCTAGACAGAATTCGTAATGCACACTATAAAGCCAATGTCAACCTATAACACTACCTCCCCTTAAAGCGAAGCTGAGAAGCTTCAAGATAAGGCTCCGTCCAACCCAAGCGGAGGCGACAATATCACGAAGGATTTGTCGCAATGCGACGGCTTATAGCACTACCTGAACTAATGGTTCCAATAGGGGATCTAGGACATTTTTGGTTACTCTGCGATTAGCATTTCTTGTATCACGGGGCGAGGCACTGTTGGGGGTAGGATGAGATATGCGTTATTGTGCGGAGGAGAGGAAAAGAAGGTGTGCGTGGAGGACTGGCTATATAAGCGAAAGCCCTAGCAGGCCAGTCCGTACACGCGCATACGTATAGCTGCACGTGACTATTGTACTTTGGGTATGGCACATGAGGCAGTTAATATAGTGCTAGAATATCATAGGTTAGCTCTATAACACTATCCCCCCTCAAAAGAAGCTCTAATAGCTTCGAATCTATATATATATATAATAATACTCCAGATTATTTATCTTAGACTTTTCTCGTAATCCTCCAACATCTTATTATAGTCTACAAACTCTATTTTTAATATTCGACTAAACTAAATATCTATTAAACGTTTCGCTATCCTCGCGAACGCCATTTTTAATCCCTACTGTTTATATATTGTAAATTTATTCTCCGGCCCTATTATAATTATAATTATATCGGGCAACGGTTGTATAATATCGATAATAGCGGTGGCGGTCTCGTATTGGGTTATACGGGTAGACCGGCATTTAGGGGGTGCCGGTAATTCTAGAGTAGCAACCCGTTTTAGAGCGGCGACCAGTTTTAGAGCGGTAATTAGTATTAGAGCGGCGGCAGTAGGTATTAGAATTCGTCTAACTAGTATAATTTCAATTTTCCGGCGGTATAGGTTTATCGGGGAATTTGTAATAAAAGCGTTAAAGTATTTCTTTATAATTAATAACATTATCCTTAAGTTCCTAAATTAGTTAGTAGTTACCTTTCTATTCGACGCAATAGTACTAATAATAATTACCGCCGAATTAAGCACAATTAATAAACCTTTCGAAATCCTATTCTTCTTATTTCTTATAATTATCCGTCCTAATTATTACGCGCCCGTTATTTACTTTTACGTTGAAAAATATATTCTAATTGGAAAAGCTTCTACCAATCTGTAATCATACTATAGAGACGTAGAATATTAGTAAGTATTTTATATTAATTAGGAGTACGAGGTATATAATATAATTCTCTATTCGGGTAATACTGAAGGGGCCTTCCTATTGCGGATAGAATTTTAAATATAATTAGCCGTTAGTAAGGTTTATTATATTTAGTAGTATTATATCATTAGGGCGGTATTTAAAAGAATCGATAAGTTTCTTATTAGTATTATCTTTATAACGCTCTTAAATTTAAAAGGTTTATTAGACGACAAAATCTTAAATTTATTGGAAACGGTCCGTTAATTTAAATACCTTATAATATTTTTTAAATTAGGCCAGCGATAAATCCGGAGGGGGGGGGGTAGTATATAAAATTCAGTACTTATATAAGGGTAATAATTATAATTAATAAAAAAAGAAAAGATACTTATCGACGATAATATAGTGTTATTATTAATAAATTCTATAATAAATAACTATTTTACTTAATCTATTTATATTTAATTAATATAGAGCCGTAAAAATTATTTTATTTTAACGTTAATTCGTTCGGTCTAAGTATTAGTCTAAGGGTAAAAGGCGGAAATTAATTTATGAATAATCGATAGTTTTTTATATAGGGTAGATTAGAAATGTAATACGAATTGAATACCTTTATTAAATAGAATGTTGTTGGGTAGGCCGTAGATTGAGTAAATACGGTTAATGAAGCGGTTAGCGAGTTTTTCCGCCTTTAAGGTTACAATAGAAATATAATACTATATTTTAGTTAAGTAGTCGATAATAACGGTCATATATTTAAAGGTCTAATGAAAATGGGTATTTCTTAGTAGCAGGGTAATATAATCGATAGATATATTTCTTTATAATATTAACGATATAGTTACGAGTTTAAAATATTTAACAGAGCCGCGTTTGAGTGATTTTGTTTTTGTATAGGGAAGGTAATTTTTATAGAAAGTCATTACGTCGTTATATATCCCCTCTTAATAGAATTTGCGTTGTAGGAATTTATATATAATGTTGCGGCTAAATTAGCCCGCGCTGGGGGAGTTATATTAATAATTAATCAGTTAGAATTAGAATTCCTTATTATAGGAGTTAATAATTACCCTATTATATTATTTCGTAATACCGTTTACGGCGTAAAATTTAGAAAAGGTATAATAAAAGACCTTTTTAATAGTTAGTAGTTATTAGCGCCGTATTTTATTTGTTAAATAATAAACGAATTTTTATAAGAAGATAGATATTTTATAATTAATATAGATTAAATCGTCGGTAGATTTATTATTAAGGTCGTCTATACCTAGTAAATATAGGGAGAAACCCGCCGCGGGGTCTTTTTTAAAGAGATAGCTGTTTTTAAATTATAAAAGGTTTAGAAGCGGGCGTTTTTTAGCCGTAAATTTATTATTTTTTATATCGTTAGGACGGTCGTTTGGTTTCCAGTTTAATACGTCCGGGCGGAGGTTCTTAGAATCCAATATATATTTAATTAAAAAATTTAATTAGGATAGGAATTAGAACTACCATATATAACGTTGGGTGAATTATTTATTAGTCGTAAAAATTTATAGATTCTTATAGTCTGTTAAAATATTAAAAAATTACTAAACGCCTTCGAATTCTAGCCTTTACTCTTTTAATACCTTAATAATAGCGAAGACTTCTTTATCGTAGGTATTATAATTATACTTTTATAAAGAAAACTTAATTAAGAAGTAAATAATTAAGTATAATATTCCATCATCCTTATAGTAAAATAGAGTACTACCCGTAACCTAATTTAAAGCATCAGTTTCGATAATACTTTTTTTAGTCTAATTGTAGATCTTTAGAACGGGGCTTTTTATAAAAGCTTCCTTTAATACGTTAAAAGTCTGCTA